AGTTTCTTTTCCTCCAATCTCCAGGTTCGTTTACTTCCTTCCAGTCTTTTTGCATTATTGGTGTGAGCGTGTCCGCTGTTGTTCCTCCGTCTGTTCCTAGTGCTTCTGACGGGATTCCATCTTTGCCTGCTGCTTTCTTGCATTTCAGCAGCCTTATGGCATTCTGGACTTCTTTTTTCGTCGGAGGGCTTGTGTTCACTGGTAGTTCTGTGGCTGGGCTACAAGTTGCATTTCTTGACGGAGTGCAGGTGCTGGTCGATTCAAGAGCTTTTCGATGTGGTCAGCTCATCGTTTCCTTTGTTTCTCTGCTTTGGTAATTAGATTTCCTTCGTCCTCTCTTATTGGTCTCATCTGTGTTGATCTCTTCCCTTTCGGATAGTAACCTGGTTATTTGATATAATGTTGTCAGATCTCTGTATCTCTTACCAGCAGCATGTTCTTCTTCACATGCCGACGTGTCATAGAAGTGTCTTTTGTCTTTCCGTGCACTCTTCTTCAATTCTTTGTGCAGTGCAGTGTTTTATACGTTGTGCTCTATTCGTCTTCTGTTGTGCATTCTTGAACTAGTTTATCTTCTGCTTCACCATCACCATCTTCCTCTCCCTCCTCTCTCAGCTTCCATGTGTCCGTCGAGATCCATTCCAGTCCTTGTTTTCTTCCTTCTTCCTTCCCTATACGGTTATGCAGGTTTCTTTCCGCATTTTTTTCAAAGAGTTCTAGTGTTCATCCTAACAGGTGTCCTCAAAGATGTTGCTTAATGTTCCTCTTTTCTTCCTGGTAGCTGACTTGAAGATATCCTTTGTAGTTTTGTCCTTCACTTTCTGTTCTGTGCGTTCAATTTGAACTGTGGTTTATCACCAAGTTGTTTGAAGGCTTTCGACTAGATTTTGAAGTCTTTTTGCACTACTCAATAGTTGGTGTGAACCTACATCTGCTCCTGTTCTTGATCTTGTGTCCAGTAGGCTGCGTCTCCACTTTCTTTACATAAGGAAGAAGTCGATTCGATTTTTAGTGTGTCCTTCTGTTGAGATCAACTCCATGCCGCTGCCTTGTGAATATCCTTGTGTTTGCACACAGTGCCTCCAATCACAAAATCGCCGGATGCGCAGAAATCCGCAATCATTTCTCCATTCTTGTTCGTTTCATCGAGTGATTCTCAGCCCGTGATGAGTTCTCTTCCTGTCTTGTCCGCTCCCGGTTTGGTATTCATGTCACACCACTCATTAGAATTTTGGTAACTCCATTTGGGGTGGAGTCTTGTAGAGTGTTGATTGTAGTTGTCTGTAGAATTCCTCCTTTTTCTTTTGATCCGCATTATTTTTAGGTGTATAGCCTAGCGTAATATTGAATGATTGTGACTTGCATTCCATTTGAGTTGAATCCGTCTTACTGTCATGATCCCGAAGGAGATTGGTTCCCACTTCATGAAAGCCTTCGGTGCTGTTGGGGAAATCATGACAGCCACTGAAAAACTAAGTGTGCTTCTTCGTAGTTGTCGTCTCCATGACAACATAGGAGTGGATTACTGACTCCTCTCTAGTTGACAGTTTAGAGTGTCCACTTCCATTCCATCTGCAGATTTCTCACAGATTCCTAGCACTTCTATTCCATACATTCTCATCGCTTTAGAAATCTGGGCAGCCTTGCCAGGTTCATACATTGTGCCGACATGCCATGTCCCCACGTTTACTTTCAATTTCATCGAGAGAAGCGGAATCACATCGGGCGATTGGCTTCCCGAAGGCTTTCACCAACTGGCGTCATTTCGTTTCTCCGATTCCAGATAGGAATTAGTCTGTTTTTATTTTTTAACATTTTGTTTGGGCTTTGAAGTTTCTGTAGCGGTTGGATTGGTTTTACGGGTTAGGGTTGCTAGGTTGCCCTAGGTCCAACCTTCCCTCTTTACCCAAGCTTAGGACTGGTTAGTAACTAGTGAACTTGTTAACCAGGCAAGGTTGTATTCCAACCTTAGGAGAGGTTATTGGTTTTTTTGAGAACACCTTACTAAAAAAGGGCACTGTTTCCACTTCTCTCTTTAATCTCGTGACAAATATGCTATCAAATCGTGATCACAGTCAGTCGACCAACATATCGTTTATTGTTTACTATTATCCATATTTACCTCATTTCTTTTCAGACAAATGAATGATGTTTTGCAGGCATTTCTATTTGCTGTGTTAGTTTGATTGACTGTATTTCATCACCAAAAGAAAAATTAAAAAATTGCCATCATATTCATTTAATTATTCAGAAACTGTCGATCATCTTGTCTGCGGAGCACAAATAACTAATACATGTTAGCAAAGTATGAGAGGTGAAGTCCTGATATATTCTAGTCTGGTAGTTTCTGGTTGGTGTGTACTAAACAGAGTAAAACAAAGAATTGGAAAAACTCACTGGAGTCGGTTGGATAACAGCAATAAATTTTATATTCTTTGTGTTTTGTAGAAATGTCTATTATTGATTGATTATCCGGCAAAGACTGAGCTGATATTCATCGATATATATTATCACAAATTTGATCGCATATATCTGTCATGTGAAGGTTTATAAGGCTACTGTAGAAAGTAAATAATGTCGGTTATGCATATTCTATCATGTAGAACTTTAACCTTAAAAAATCGTTCCGTTAGCATTAGTAAAGCGGAAGAGTTAAATATTATTACAGTCTGAGAATTCCTCCTCATGAGTCCTTTCTGCCAGATAAAGCAACTATAAGGGACTATAAGTCAATCTTTTCATCTTCCTTTCAGGGGAGTTTGAGGACTTTCGGTTGAATTTTTTAACAGTCAACTTGATGAAGAACAAATTCTTCATTGAATTACGAAGATAAATTTCAAATGGGGAATATATTTCCAGATATTTCTTATTTTAGAGTAGACATGAAGAAGAAGTTAGACACAACAATAACTCCACTTAGGTGATATATGAAAGCTAAATAAACAGAGAAATCACTAAAGTGAATCAAAGATACTTCAACTTTCTGTTGTGTTGATTAGTTATTGTAGCGTAACCAATTTCATGTTATCTACTTATTAATGCTTATTGAATCTTATGGATAAGTAAACTAGGAAAGTCAGTATCACGTTGCACTCTGATTGATGTTAGTAGGCTGAAGGCAATCGACAGAAATTCCTGGGACCAGACTTCATCTAGATATGCTTTGCAGATGTGTGGTAACATACAGAAAACCCATTGTTCTCAACTGTTTATTAGCAGTCAGAGTGGTCATAAGTATCACAAAATGAATAACAACCTTTTGTATTAATCTTAGCAAAAGGCTTGATTGCTAAACTCTCCTAGAATGGCTACATTTTCTCTTTCTACTGTTTACAATATTGACTTAGTTTGGTGTTCATAATTTATTGTCATCATCCTAAATACACTTATTCTTTTGTGACTAGATTATAACTAGAAAAGTGTAAAATATCTTCTTTATCTTTGTAAAAGATTATTTTCAATATTTCGTCCATTTTCTTGGGATTGAATCATTCACATATCTCTTAACGACATGAATAGTTAGAAATCATATGGTCTCATTTGTAGATTTCGCTAACCAGATCCAAAATGGCTAACAGCAGTTTTGCTTTGGTGGGAGGATTTCATCGATGGTGCACCCGAACAAATTCAGAGCAAAAAAATCGGCTGTTTTAATCAACTGACTCTATTTACCTTAGTTAAAAAGGACCCTTATAGATTAAGTAGGATGATCAATTTGCGAATAGTTTGTGAATTGGACAACTCATGTTGACATTTCCTACAACTGAGTAGTTGTTCAACTGCCCAAATGTAATGTGAACAGGGCTTTTACTGGGAACCACTGAGCCGAGATCACTGAGTGTGATCTCTGACACAAAAGTGTCATATACTACCAATCTACACAATTCGACTTTGTGAACTGTACTAGTGTAGGTAAACCACTGGTAAGTTCAGCCTCAAACGGGAGTTTACCTCATTCTAACTGAACTAGGAAAATCTACAGACCCACCGGTTTGGTTTTTACCAACTCAAGTTGTTCAGTAAAGTACTTCGTTTCTTCATGATACGTTTATATCAGAGATCACAATTCATGATCTTTCTGACACCACAATTGGGCAGTTAAAAAGCTACTCAGCTGTAAGAAATGTCAATGTGAACTGTTCAATTTGTCAATAATTTGCAAAATGATAATCTCTCAATTCAAATGTTGCGAAATATCAGAAACTTCAGTACTATAAACCTCATTTCCCTAGGTTTTTAGCCATATGATCAGATATAGGTGATTTTTGACTAGTTTTTTTTCAGAAAAAAACAAGATCGTAACTTTTTAATAATAATAATTTCTTTATTCCAAACAAGATGTATGACAGTTTGGAATTCTCAGCATATTATTTCTCAACAAATTCACTCTCAGAACAATACTTTCAGATGAAACGGTTATTCCATCGGAATGATGTTTATAATAACAATATTCAAGGCAATAATTATGAGATAGGCATCTGGTTCTGGATAGGCATCCAGTCCATAATGAAGAACCAACAGAAATGTAAGCGTAATTTTGGTGGTGGTGGTTCATTCAGACGGTACAAAAATCTGCAACCCAAGCTAATCATCTAACGGATAGATATATATGATATACTTCTTTGTATCGAAAAGTCCATTCCTATATTATGTAACACTTCTTCTCCGATTAGAGAAACGGAGAGCTGGAAGAAGTTTAAAAAGGTGCAAGAGTACATGATACGTTTAAAGGACATAGTTAAATGATTAAAACAAATTGATAGGAAAGAATTTGATGTAAAATATTCAATGAATAAAATTTGATACTTCAAGGTTCAAACAGGCCGCTGTGATTGGTTGTTTAACTAATTTCATTTCAAGGTTCAATTTTCAGGTTTTCTGAAAAGCAGAACCTTACTTACTTGAAATATGGCATATATAGAATATTTAATTCACCAAATAATTCATTTATCTTAGAGTTTATAAATGATATAGTGATATTTACTGATTCTTTATTCTAGGGTTGTGCAAATGTGATTATTGCTCTGCTTTACCAATATTTCATCCCATTAATAATAATGATAGTTATATTAGCTGTACTAATGGTAAGTCTACAGAATAAATTTGTTTAAGTATTTCTGTTATACAACTTGTCTGAAACAGTGTTTTGTAATTCTTGTCTAAGCATGAAAATTTACTTTATAAAAGTCTTGTTTGATAAAATATTTGTTAAGTTTTCACCATAAAAACTACTATTTCACCATAATGTAACTTGCTACATTTAAAATAACCTCAGATATTTTCATCACCGGGGTTGCAATAATTCGGTTGAGGAATAAGTATATAATATGTTGCAAACTATGATTACTTTCTACAAAAGGTATTGCTTTTCTATTCCAGAAACATTTGTCTCACAGATAACATCCATCTCACTTTTCAGTGTATAGATCAGGCACTATCTTCCCACCATATTATTATTATTATTATTATTAGTCCCTTGGGTTCCTAGTGGAACATAGGGCTTCACTAGCACGTCTCCAGTGACCTCTGTACTCTGAGATCTTTTGAACCTGGTTCCACCACAGCCCACAAGCTCGCATTTCCTCCTCGCACGACCTCCTCCATGTCACCCTCAGCTGGGACGTCCAACTCGTCGCTTCCCATGGGGATTCCACTCCAGCAACTGGCCTGACGCGTGATGTCCTCAGTCGGCCTTCTCAGTGCATGGCCAATCCATCTCCACTTCCTCCTGCATATTTGTTGTGTGATAGGTTCTTGGTTAGTTGGTTCCCAGAGCTCCTTGTTGCTTATTCTGATTATCCTGGCCATCTGATCTTCAGTAGCGAGACAGCGTAAGCAGTTGTTGATGAATGTCTGTAGTTTATTGGAAATGCCTTTCGTGACGCGCCAAGTCTCTGAACCATACAGAAGCACTGACTTGACTGGATTGGTGTTGAAAATCCGTATCTTGTTCCGCATGCTGAGTGCAGAAGATCCCCACACTGGTTTCAGGTTAATGAACACCTGTCTTGCTTTTCCGATTCTGACTTTGACGTCCTCGACCGTCCCGCCTGTAATTGAAACAGTACTTCCTAGATAGGTGAAGGAGGTTACTTCCTTTAAGTTTCTCCCGTTGACGGTTATTGGAGTTTGTTGTTGTTGTTGGAGTTGTTGGTGCGGTATCTTCATCACCTCTGTCTTCTCTATATTCACTTGAAGTCCCGTTTTAGCTGCCTCTTCTATCAACTTGTTAGTTGTTGCCTGCAGATCTTCAAGTTTATGTAACATCAGGCACAAGTCATCGGCGAAATCCAGATCTTCTAGGTTCTTTTCCGCAGTCCAGCCAGCGTATACCCCTCTTCTCGCTCTCCACTGTTTGCTGCATGATCCAGTCCACCACAATCAGGAATATCATGGGGGATAGTAGGCAACCTTGTTTCACTCCTACTCCTGTCTTCACTTCAAAAGTATCACTGAGCTTCCCATTGTGAATTACTTGGCATGTAGCATCTTCATATAGTTGTTGAATGATGTGGATAAAGGTTTGCGGTACTCCGTAGTATTGAAGCAGTTTCCAAATTACTTCTCGGTCGACGCTGTCAAAGGCCTTCTCAAAGTCGATGAAGTTGAGGTAGAGAGCTGATTGCCATTCTATGCTCTATTCTATGATGATGCGAAGCGTTGCAATTTGGTCTGCACATGATTTGTACTTCCTGAAGCCTGCCTGTTCCGGTCGTAGTTTTGAATCCAGTGCATCCTTTAGCCTCTCCAGGATGATGCGGCTTAATATTTTGCTTGCTCTGGGTGGACAGGAGAGTGATTCCGCGCCAGTTCTTGCAAACACTGAGGTCTCCCTTCTTCGGCAGTTTGACAAGGTAACCCTTCTTCCAATCGTCAGGTACCTTCTCTTCCTTCCACACCTTCTGCAATAGTGGTGTGAGCATGTCCGCTGTTGTCTCTGAGTCTGTTCTCAGTGCTTCTGGCGGTATTCCATCTGGTCCTGCTGCTTTCCCGCATTTCAGTAGCTTTATGGCGTTCAGGACGTCCATTTTTGTTGGAGGATTTATGTTCACTTGTAGTTCAGCGGCTGCAGGTGGTATTTCTGGACGAAGTGCAGGTGGTGGTCCATTCAAGAGCTTCTTGAAGTGGTCGGCCCATCGTTTCCTCTGTCTCTCTTCTCTTGTAATTAAATTTCCTTCTTCATCTTTTATTGGTTTCATCTGTGTTGGTCTCTTCCTTGATAGCAACCTGGTTATTTGATACAATGTCGTCAGGTCTCTCTTACCCACCTGCAGCCTGTTCTGCTTCACTTGCCAGTGTTTCGTAAAAGTGTCTTCTGTCTTTCCACCCACCCTTCTTCACTTCTTTGTCCAGTGTTTTGTACATTGTGCTCAGTTCCTCTTGTCGTTGAGCATCCTTGCACTGGTTTATCTTCTGCTTCACCACCCTCCTCTCCCTGCTCTATCAGCTTCCAGGTATCCGTCGAGATCCATTCCAGTCCTTATCTTCTTTCTTCTTCCTTCCTAATACTGTTGTGCAGGTTTCTTTCCACATAGCTTTCAAAGACTTCCAGTGTTCTTTCACACAGGTTTCTTCAGGGATGTCCCTCGATATCTCCCATTTTGTCTTGATGGCTGCCGTGAAGATCTCCTTTGTAGTTTCATCTTTCAGTTTCCGAGTGTTGAACTTGAATTGAGGTCTATCACCAGCTTCCTTGAGGGCTTTCAACTTGATTTGGAAGGTTCCTTGCAGCAGATGGTGAGTGGTGTGAACCTACATCTGCTCCTCTTCTTGACCTTGTGTTAAGTAGACTGCGTCTCCATTTTCTTGAGATTGAGATAAAGTCGATTTGATTTTTAGTGTGTGCATCTGGTGAAATCCATGTCGCTTTGTGAATATCTTTGTGTCTGAACACACTGCCTCCAATTACTAAATCGTTGAATGTGCAGAATTCCGCAAACAATTCTCCATTCTCGTTCATTTCACCTACCGCTTCTCGGCCCATAGTTAGTTCTCTTCCTGTGTTGTCCCCTCCCAGTTTGGCATTCATGTCACACCACTCATTAGAATTTTGATATCGCCAACTGACGTCTTGTCCAGTGTTGATTGAAGTTGTCTGTGGAATTCCTCCTTTTTCTCTTGCTCTGCATTATTTGTAGGTGCATAGTGTAGCATTGTATGATTGTGACCTTCCTTCCTTTTGAGTTGAATCCATCTTGTTGTCATGATCCTGGAGGAGATTGGTTCCCACTGCATGAGAGCCTTCGATGCTCTTGAGGACATCATGATAGCCACTCCATAACTCAGTGTGCTCGTGGTTGTCGTCTGGGTGACCGTAGTAGGTTATTGATTCTCCAGTTGACAGTTTGGAGAGTCCACTCCCATTCCATCTGCTTTCGCAAATCCCAAGCACTTCAATGTTATACCTTCTCATCTCCTTTGCAATCTAGGCTGCCTTACTGGGTTCAAACATGGTGCGGACATTCCATGTCCCCACGTTTACTTTCGGTTTCATCGAGAGTTGAGGAGACACATCGGCCAATTGGCTTCCCGAAGGCTTTCACCAACTGGCGTCATTTCGCCTCTCCGATTCCAGCGGGGAATAAGTTTGTTTTCATTTTTTATATTTTGTTTGTGCTTTGAAGTTTGTTTAGCGGTTAGATTTGTTTTACGAGGTAGGGTTTCTAGCCCTATGCCCAACCTTTCCTGTTTACCCGGGCTTAGGACCGGCTAGTAACTAGTGAACTAGTTAACCAGGCGAGGTTATCTTCCCACCATAGATAAAAATTATTGGCCTTCTTATAAGACTAGCTTTTATAGAATATTTAGGAGTGCTATCATCATCCAGTTTAGATAAAAGTGAGGTGCATGCTTTTAGAGAACTATGAAACATTGTTTAACATACTAACTCAACGAAATAACTTCTGCACACTGTGATTGGCAGTTTCAAAGTCATTTAAGTATGGTTAACTCCAGCATGGTTTTCTGATTATAACGCCTTATTCCATAATACATTAGCCAGTTTTTAGAGTGACACCAAATACCATCCTAACGACTACTGAACTGACCATTTTTATGAAAAGTTACCCCTCCAACCAAATATAAACATCTAATTGATCATTTAAGTAGTTGCTAGGATGATCTTTAAAGTCACTTAATCTTTATCATCAAAACTGAATGAGTTTTATACCGTTTCAGACGAATAATAGGATGTTTTTGCTAGTATTATCCCATCGTTTATTGGACCGAATTAATCGATCTGTATTTGTATATGAGATTCTTCATAGACGCCTCGATATTGTGTGTTTAAGTTATCTATTAGTGATAGATAGTGGCTAGCAGTGGGATCCAGGACGCGCGTCTTGTCCGACTTAAGACTCGTCAGCTGGATGTACCTGCCTCCCGGTGATTGATTTTGCTCCCACTAGCAGCAACATTAAAAACCATGTCCGTCACACAAGAAGTGGATATCTTGACTCAGTTGCCTAGTGGCTAACGCTCTGGCGTTTAAATCAACTAGTCTGAAGTTCGAGTCCCAAAGGAAACAACAAAGTTCACTGGGAGGCTGGTGCATCCAGCCAAAAAGTCCCAATTAGGGCGAAACGCATGCCCTGAATTCCATTGTTAGCCACTGTTCATCATAATTGTTAGAATGGTTACTGGACAGAATTTCAGGAACATTATTTATATATATAGTATGCTGCACGCCACTGTATGGTTTCTGAACTCCTATGAGTGCTAATAATTGGATACAAGAAAATGTATTGTCTGAAAAATGACTTAAATTGTTAGTGAGGCTATCTGAGATAATGATGGTTTGGTAGACTGATGGTATTTGATGGATGATGTTGACCTGAAGACATGGTCTAGACAGAATTCGACCAAGCGACCTCGGGTTAACTGTCCTGGTGCCACACCAGTCGAACTACCAGATTAAAACTTGGAACAGCAATGGAGTGCTGGAACAACAATATGGAATTTATTACGTTGAATCTTGTGGCCTGCAAAATGTTCAATTGATTTTTATTTACCAACGTACATAAAAGATGACTTAAGTGTCAGTTATGCACAAAAACATCAGGTTTGAAGTAGAAAGCCATTGAAC